CGCAATTTTCAGCAATTATAGAAAAAAGTGTAAGCTTTTTAATAAAGAAAACCGTTTTTGAAAATCTCTTTTCGTTCTTGAGATAAAAATTTTTAAACACAACGATATATTTTCACACTTTGTAGCGAATACAACGATTTTCGATTTGAATCAAAAAATCGTATAAAATCGGGCTTCTAATGAATCGTTATGAAAATATCGCCAGTTATAAAGTAAACTGTGATCTTTTCAACGAAAGAGGCCGTTTTAAAAAATATTTGTTACTTCTTGAGATATTAAACTTTTTATCTCATCGCTATCTTATATTTAAATTACTTAATCAATGGTTTTCAAAAAATCATAAAAAATCGATTTTTGAAGATACCATTACGCAATTTTCAGTAAATATAGAAGAAAGTGTTACCTTTTTAATAAAGAAAACCGTTTTTGAAAATCTTTTTTCATTCTTGAGATAAAAATTTTTAAACACAACAATATATTTTCCCACTTTGTAGGGAATACAACGATTTTCGATTTGATTCTAAAAATCGTATAAAATCGGGCATCTAATAAATCGTTATGAAACTATCGCCAATTATAAAGTAAACAGTGATCTTTTCAACGAAAAAAGCCATTTTTAAAAATATTACTTACTTCTTGAGATATTAAACTTTTTGACTCGTTGCTATCTTATATTTAAATTACTTAATCAATCGTTTTCAAAAAAACATAAAAAATCGATTTTTGAAGATATCTTTATGCAATTTTCAGTAATTATAGAAGAAAGTGTTACCTTTTTAATAAAGAAACCCGTTTTTGAAAATTTTTTTTCGTTTTTGAGATAAACATTTCTAAACACAACGATACATTTTCCCAATTTATAGGTAATACAATGATTTTCGATTTGATTCAAAAAATCGTATGAAATCGGGCTTCTAATGAATCGTTATAAAAATATCGCCAGTTATAAAGTAGACTGTGGTCTTTTCAGCGAAACAGGCCGTTTTTCAAAATATTTCTTACTTCCTGAGATATTAAGTTTTTTATCTCATTGCTATCTTATATTGAAATTACTTAATCAATCCTTTTCAAAAAATCATAAAAAATCATTTTTATGATTTTAAATGACATTTTAAACAAATATTATACGAAACATTTTTTGAAAAATTGTATGATTTACCTGGAAATGCCGAATTTCGAATATGTACTATTCACAGGAAATGAAAATTTCGTTTTTTTGAAAAACTTTATTAACAAAAATTTTTTTTGCAATACAATGCTAATCAAGTCTTGTATATATAAAATTTAGATTTTATCAGTAATTATTGAGATAACCTCAAAAATGTTGATTTATATTAAAAACTTTTATTAAAATAATCGATTTTAAATCACATTTTAAACAAATATTGTAGGAAACGTTTTTTGAAAAATTGTATGATTTACCTGGAAATGCGGAATTTCGAATATGTACTATTCACAGGGAAATCAAAATTTCGTTATTTTAAAAAACTTCATTAATTACGATTTTCGATTTGAATCAAAAAATCGTATAAAATCGGGCATCTAATGAATCGTGATAAAACTATCGCCAGTTATAAAGTAAAGTGTGATCTTATCAACGAAAAAGGCCGTTTTTAAAAATAGTTCTTACTTCTTGAGATATTAATCAATCGTTTTCAAAAAATCATAAAAAATCGATTTTTGAAGATATCATTACGAAATTTTCAGCAATGATAGAAGAAAGTGTTGCTTTTTTAATAAAGAAAACCGTTTTTGAAAATCTTTTTTCGTTCTTGAGATAAAAATTTTCAAATCCAACGATACATTTTCCCACTTTGTAGAGAATACAACGATTTTCGATTTGGTTCAAGAAACCGTATAAAATCGGGCATCTAATGAATCGTTATGAAACTATCGCCAGTTATAAAGCAAAGTGTGATCTTGTCAACGAAAAAGGCCGTTTTTAAAAATATTTCTTACTTCTTGAGATATTAAACTTTTTGTCTCATCGCTATCTTATATTTAAATTACTTAATCAATCGTTTTCAAAAAATCATAAAAAATCGATTTTTGAAGATATCATTACGCAATTTTCAGTAAATATAGAAGAAAATGTTACCCTTTTAATAAAATAAACCATTTTTGAAAATATATTTTCGTTCTTGAGATAAAATTTTTTAAATACAACGATACATGTTCCCACTTTGTAGCGAATACAACGAATTTCGGTTTGATTCAAAAAATCGTATAAAATCGGGCTTCTAATGAGTCGTTATGAAACTATCGCCAGTTATAAAGTAAAGTGTGATCTTTTCAACGAAAAAGGCCGTTTTTAAAAATATTTCTTACTTCTTGAGATATTAAACTTTTTGTCTCATCGCTATCTTATATTTAAATTACTTAATCAATCGTTTTCAAAAAATCATAAAAAATCGATTTTTGAAGATATCATTACGCAATTTTCAGTAAATATAGAAGAAAATGTTACCCTTTTAATAAAATAAACCATTTTTGAAAATATATTTTCGTTCTTGAGATAAAATTTTTTAAATACAACGATACATGTTCCCACTTTGTAGCGAATACAACGAATTTCGGTTTGATTCAAAAAATCGTATAAAATCGGGCTTCTAATGAGTCGTTATGAAACTATCGCCAGTTATAAAGTAAAGTGTGATCTTTTCAACGAAAAAGGCCGTTTTTAAAAATATTTCTTACTTCTTGAGATATTAAACTTTTTGTCTCATCGCTATCTTATATTTAAATTACTTAATCAATCGTTTTCAAAAAATCATAAAAAATCGATTTTTGAAGATATCATTACGCAATTTTCAGTAAATATAGAAGAAAATGTTACCCTTTTAATAAAATAAACCATTTTTGAAAATATATTTTCGTTCTTGAGATAAAATTTTTTAAATACAACGATACATGTTCCCACTTTGTAGCGAATACAACGAATTTCGGTTTGATTCAAAAAATCGTATAAAATCGGGCTTCTAATGAGTCGTTATGAAACTATCGCCAGTTATAAAGTAAAGTGTGATCTTTTCAACGAAAAAGGCCGTTTTTAAAAATATTTCTTACTTCTTGAGATATTAAACTTTTTGTCTCATCGCTATCTTATATTTAAATTACTTAATCAATCGTTTTCAAAAAATCATAAAAAATCGATTTTTGAAGATATCATTACGCAATTTTCAGTAATTATAGAAGAAAGTGTTACCTTTTTAATAAAGAAAACCGTTTTTGAAAATCTTTTTTCGTTCTTGAGATAAAAATTTTTAAACACAACGATATATTTTCCCACTTTGTAGCAAATACAACGATTTTCGGTTTGATTAAAAAAATCGTATAAAATCGGGCATCTAATGAATCGTTATGAAACTATCGCCAGTTATAAAGTAAAGTGTGATCTTTTCAACGAAAAAGGCCGTTTTTAAAAATATTTCTTACTTCTTGAGATATTAAACTTTTTGTCTCATCGCTATCTGATATTAAAATTACTTAATCAATCGTTTTCAAAAAATCATAAATAATCGATTTTTGAAGATATCGTTATGAGATTTGCAGTAATTATAGAAGAAAGTGTTACCTTTTTAATAAAGAAAACCGTTTTTGAAAATCTTTTTTCGTTTTTGAGATAAAAAATTCTAAACACAACAATACATTTTCCCACTTTGTAGGAAATACAACAATTTTTGATTTGATTCAAAAAATCGTGTAAAGTCGAGCTTCCAATGAATCGTTATGAAAATATCGCCAGTTATAAAGTAAACTGTGATCTTTTCAACGAAACAGGCCGTTTTTAAAAATATGTTTTACTACTCCAGATATTAAATTTTTTATCTCATCGCTATCTTATATTCAAATTACTTAATTGATCGTTTTCAAAAAATCATAAAAAGCGATTTTTGAAGATATCGTTACGCAATTTTCAGTTATTATAGAAGAAAGTGTTACCTTTTTAGTAAAGCAAATCAAATCTCCTTTCGTTCTTGAGATAAAAATTTTTAAACACAACGATATATTTTCCCACTTTGTAGCAAATACAACGATTTTCGGTTTGATTAAAAAAATCGTATAAAATCGGGCATCTAATGAATCGTTATGAAACTATCGCCAGTTATAAAGTAAAGTGTGATCTTTTCAACGAAAAAGGCCGTTTTTAAAAATATTTCTTACTTCTTGAGATATTAAACTTTTTGTCTCATCGCTATCTTATATTTAAATTACTTAATCAATCGTTTTCAAAAAATCATTAAAAATCGATTTTTAAAGATATCATTACGCAATATTCAGTAATTATAGAAGAAAGTGTTACCTTTTTAATAAAGCAAACCGTTTTTGAAAATCTTTTTTCGTTCTTGAGATAAAAATTTTTAAACACAACGATATATTTTCCCACTTTGTAGCAAATACAACGATTTTCGGTTTGATTAAAAAAATCGTATAAAATCGGGCATCTAATGAATCGTTATGAAACTATCGCCAGTTATAAAGTAAAGTGTGATCTTTTCAACGAAAAAGGCCGTTTTTAAAAATATTTCTTACTTCTTGAGATATTAAACTTTTTGTCTCATCGCTATCTTATATTTAAATTACTTAATCAATCGTTTTCAAAAAATCATAAAAAATCGATTTTTAAAGATATCATTACGCAATATTCAGTAATTATAGAAGAAAGTGTTACCTTTTTAATAAAGAAAACCGTTTTTAAAAATCTCCTTTCGTTCTTGAGATAAAAATTTTTAAACACCACGATACATTTCCCCACTTTGTAGGGAATACAACGATTTTCGATTTGATTAAAAAAATCGTATAAAATTGGGCATCTAATGAATCGTTATAAAACTATCACCAATTATAAAGAAAACTATAATCTATCTAACGAAAACGACCGATTTGAAAAATAATTTTTATCGTTCTTGTGATAAAAATTAAAAACACAAACACACATTTTCTCACTTTATACGGAAATCAAAGATTTTCGATTTGATTAATATTTATTTTCCAAGATAACAAATTTTTAGTCATAGTTTTTTATTATATTTTGTGATTCCTTTTTCGTATCCCAACTCTAACCCCAGTTTTTGATTGCAAAGTAATCTCCACTGTATAACAAATTTTATGTTGGACGTCGACAAACTCATAATTAAGCAACAGCTTCGCTAGGGCAATTTTCATCGAGGTCATCGCATACAATTGTCCTACAAAACCTTTCTTATTAAGTAATCCATAAAAAAATATTTCTTACCCATGCAATTTCGAATCCCAGCGTTAAAAGGGGTATAACTATATCTATTTGAGTTCAAATTTTCCAGAAGAAACCGTTCTGGAATGAACTTTTCAGGTTCCGGATATAACTCAGGGTCGAGATGCATCATAAACGGGATCATAAGAATCATTAATCCTTTAGGTAATGTGGTGTCTTCGTGTATTACATCTTCTTCGAGAGTTCGAGTGAATAACGGAATCGCCGGGCCTAATCTCATCGATTCTTTCATGACTAAATCTAAATATTTCATCCCTAACATTTGTTGGTTGGTTATTGTTTGGTGGATATCTTCGCCGAGGATTGAGTGAACCTCTTCGTACGCTTTTTGCTACAAATTTGATTTAACAATTATTAGATTGATTTAAATCAAAAATATTTACTTGGATTTCGGGGTATTTCGCCAAATAATAAATCATGTAAGACATTGAAACCGCCGAAGCATCAAAAGCCTAAAATTTAATTAATTGAGTTAATTAATTTGATTTAAATAAAATAATTTTAATTTACAGCTGTAAAGACCATCGTTAATTGTCTTAAAATATCTGTTTCTTTGTTATTTTTATCCCCCAATAAGATATCCATGTAAGTCGGTCTTTTTTCGGTGTTTAAATTGTTGTTGTATTCTTTTCGCTTCCTCTCAATGCTTCCTCTTAAGCTGTCGTGAAGGATTTTGAGTTGTTCTCGTTCTTTCCAATAAATTCTTGTGAGTCTTTCCGTTAAGGTGAAGTAGGTTAACGGCAAAAACATTTTTTTGAGGGATATCTTCATCAACGTTTTGATACACCTCGCTGTTTTTCTTTTATCAATTTCAGGCCCGGTTTCACCCAAAATCGTTTCTACACCAATTTATTTATTAATTTTAAACTTAGTACTTCCCAAATTATAGTATACATTTCTCTAAAATTTATGGATTAAGGAAAGTTTGGAGAATTAACGAATTTCTGTCTATTTAATATAATATAATGTAATCTTAATTTAATTAATGAAAGAAACTAGAGTTCTGTTTGTCTAAGGTTAAATCAAATCGATGTTTTGAGGATATGTACGACTCAACGCAAGTTAGAAGGTCATACTACATAACGATGGACGAAGCAGAACCAGAACGGCGCTGTAAAAGCTAACGGTTCATAACTAAAGGTATGTTTATGGCTGCAGTGGCCAGACCACGCTGACAGTGCTAAAAAACAGTATTTCAACAGCAAAATAGGACTTTGGCCTTTGCCAATGATGACCAAAAACATCGAGTCTATTAACGCAGCAGAATGCAAAAAGGTGATTACGATAACGTTGTACCAGCCATTAGATCCAAGTTGATTGATTCCAAATTGATGATTATGGATCAAGATAACATAATTCATAAGCAATACCACCATAGTTATCTCAATTTCTTATGCACAAGCCAGGAAATCCCACAATGTCAAAATTGACAATAATCTGCGTTAAATTCTGTTGTAAGTAGAAGATTAAAGGTAATAGAGAAAAAGGTTTCCCATAAAAATTGATGGTAATGAATCAAGATAACATAATTCATAACTAATGCTATCATAGATATCACCATTTCTTAGAAAAGGCAGGAATTCTCAAAATACCAAAATTGACAATCATCTGCGTTAAATTCTGATATAAGTAGAAAATTAAAGGTGATAGAGAAAAAGGTTTCCCATAAAAATCAATGATAATGAATCAAGATAACATAATCCATTAGCAATGCTATCATAGATATCATCATTTCTTAGGTTCAACCCAGGATTTCTCAAAATATCAAAACTGACAATCATCTGCGTTAAATTCTGTTATAAGTAGAAAATTAAAGGTGATAGAGAAGAAGGTTTCCCATAAAAATTGATGATAATAAATCAAGATAACATAATCCATTAGCAATGCTATCATAGATATCATCATTTCTTAGGTTCAAGCCAGGATTTCTCAAAATATCAAAATTGACAATCATCTGCGATAAATTCTGTTATAAGTAGAAAATTAAAGGTGATAGAGAAAAAGGTTTCGCATAAAAATCAATGATAATGAATCAAGATAACATAATCCATAGTCAATGCCACCATAGATATCACCACTTCTTAGGCTCAAGCCAGGAATTCTCAAAATATCAAAATTGATAATCATCTGCGTTAAATTCTGTTATAAGTAGAAAATTAAAGGTGATAGAGAAAAAGGTTTAATATAAAAATCAATGATAATGAATCAAGATAACATAATCCATTAGCAATGCTATCATAGATATCATCATTTCTTAGGTTCAACCCAGGATTTCTCAAAATATCAAAATTGACAATCATCTGCGTTAAATTCTGTTATAAGTAGAAAATTAAAGGTGATAGAGAAAAACGTTTCCCATAAAAATTAATGATAATGAATCAAGATAACATAATCCATTAGCAATGCTATCATAGATATCATCATTTCTTAGGTTCAACCCAGGATTTCTCAAAATATCAAAATTGACAATCATCTGCGTTAAATTCCGTTATAAGTAGAAAATTAAAGGTGATAGAGAAAAACGTTTTCAATAAAAATCGATGGTAATGAATCGAAATAAAATAATCCATAGTCAATGCCATCATAGATATCACCACTTCTTAGGCTCAAGCCGGGAATTCTCAAAATATCAAAATTGACAATCATCTGCGTTAAATTCCGTTATAAGTAGAAAATTAAAGGTGATAGAGAAAAAGGTTTCCCATAAAAATTGATGATAATGAATCAAGATAACATAATTCATANTCATCTGCGTTAAATTCCGTTATAAGTAGAAAATTAAAGGTGATAGAGAAAAAGGTTTCCCATAAAAATTGATGATAATGAATCAAGATAACATAATTCATAACCAATGCTATCATAGATATCATCATTTCCTAGGTTCAAGCCAAAAATTCTTAAAATATCAAAATTGACAATCATTTGTCTTAAATTCTGTTATAAGTAGAAAATTAAAGGTAATAGAAAAAAACATTTTCCATAAAAATCAATGATAATGAATCAAGATAACATAATCCATAGTCAGTCCCACCGTAGATATCACCACTTCTTAGGCTCAAGCCGGGAATCCTCAAAATATCAAAATTGACAGTCATCTGCGTTAAATTTTGTCATAAGTAGAAAATTAAAGGTGATAGAGAAAAAGGTTTCCCATAAAAATTGATGATAATGAATCAAGATAACTTAATTCATAACCAATGCTATCATAGATATCATCATTTCTTCGGTTCAAGCCAGAAATTCTCAAAATATCAAAATTGACAATTATTTGCCTTAAATTCTGTTATAAGTAGAAAATTAAAGGTAATAGAGAAAAACATTTTCCATAAAAATCAATGATAATGAATCAAGATAACATAATCCATAGTCAGTCTCACCGTAGATATCACCACTTCTTAGGCTCAAGCCGGGAATCCTCAAAATATCAAAATTGACAATCATCTGCGTTAAATTTTGTTATAAGTAGAAAATTAAAGGTGGTAGAGAAAAACGTTTCCCATAAAAATCAAGGATAATGAATCAAGATAACATAATACATAACCAATGCTATCATAGATATCACCATTTCTTAAGTTCAAGCCAGGAATTCTCAAAATATCAAAATTGATAATCATCTGCGTTAAATTTTGTTATAAGTAGAAAATTAAAGGTGATAGAGAAAAAGGTTTCCCATAAAAATTGATGATAATGAATCAAGATAACATAATCCATAGTCAATGCCACCATAGATATCACCATTTCTTAAGTTCAAGCCATGAATTCTCAAAATATCAAAATTTACAATCATCTGGGGTAAATTTTGTTATAAGTAGAAAATTAAAGGTGGTAGAGAAAAACGTGTCCCATAAAAATCAATGATAATGAATCAAGATAACATAATTCATAGTCAATGCCACCATAGATATCACCACTTCTTAGGCTCAAGCCGGGAATTCTCAAAATATCAAAATTGACAATCATCTGCGGTAAATTCCGTTATAAGTAGAAAATTAAAGGTGATAGAGAAAAACGTTTTCCATAAAAATCAATGGTAATGAATCGAGATAACATAATCCATAGTCAATGCCACCATAGATATCACCACTTCTTAGGCTCAAGCCGGGAATTCTCAAAATATCAAAATTAACAATCATCTGCGTTAAATTCCGTTATAAGTAGAAAATTAAAGGTGATAGAGAAAAAGGTTTCCCATAAAAATTGATGATAATGAATCAAGATAACATAATTCATAACCAATGCTACCATAGATATCACCATTTCTTAGGTTCAAGTCAGAAATTCTCAAAATATCAAAATTGATAATCATCTGCGTTAATTTCTGTTATAAGTAGAAAACTAAAGGTGATAGAGAAAAAGGTTTAATATAAAAATCAATGATAATGAATCAAGATAACATAATCCATAGTCAGTGCCACCGTAGATATCACCACTTCTTAGGCTCAAGCCGGGAATTTTCAAAATATCAAAATTTCCAATCATCTGCGTTAAATTCTGTTATAAGTAGAAAATTAAAGGTGATAGAGAAAAAGGTTTCCCATAAAAATTGATGATAATGAATCAAGATAACATAATCCATAGTCAGTGCCACCGTAGATATCACCACTTCTTAGGCTCAAGCCGGGAATCCTCAAAATATCAAAATTGACAATCATTTGTCTTAAATTCTGTTATAAGTAGAAAATTAAAGGTGATAGAGAAAAAGGTTTCAGATAAAAATCAATGATAATGAATCAAGATAACATAATCCATTAGCAATGCTATCATAGATATCATCATTTCTTAGGTTCAACCCAGGATTTCTTAAAATATCAAAATTGACAATCATCTGCGTTAAATTCTGTTATAAATAGAAAATTAAACGTGATAGAGAAAAACATTTGCCATAAAAATCAATGATAATGAATCAAGATGATATAATCCATTAGCAATGCTATCATAGATATCATCATTTCTTAGGTTCAACCCAGGATTTTTCAAAATATCAAAATTGACAATCATCTGCGTTAAATTCTGTTATAAGTAGAAAATTAAAGGTGATAGAGAAAAAGGTTTCCCATAAAAATCAATGATAATGAATCAAGATAACATAATCCATTAGCAATGCTATCATAGATATCATCATTTCTTAGGTTCAACCCAGGAATTCTCAAAATATCAAAATTGACAATCATCTGCGTTAAATTCTGTTATAAGTAGAAAATTAAAGGTGATAGAGAAAAAGGTTTCCCATAAAAATCAATGATAATGAATCAAGATAACATAATCCATTAGCAATGCTATCATAGATATCAGCATTTCTTAGGTTCAACCCACGATTTCTCAAAATATCAAAATTGACAATCATTTGTGTTAAATTCTGTTATAAGTAGAAAATTAAAGGTGATAGAGGAAAAGGTTTCCCATAAAAATCAATGGTAATGAATCAAGATAACATAATCCATTAGCAATGCTATCATAGATATCATCATTTCTTAGGTTCAACCCAGGATTTCTCAAAATATCAAAATTGACAATCATCTGCGTTAAATTCTGTTATAAGTAGAAAATTAAAGGTGATAGAGAAAAACGTTTCCCATAAAAATCAATGATAATGAATCAAGATAACATAATCCATAAGCAATGCTATCATAGATATCATCATTTCTTAGGTTCAACCCAGGATTTCTCAAAATATCAAAATTGACAATCATCTGCGTTAAATTCTGTTATAAGTAGAAAATTAAACGTGATAGAGAAAAAGGTTTCCCATAAAAATCAATGATAATGAATCAAGATGACATAATCCAGTAGCAATGCTATCATAGATATCATCATTTCTTAGGTTCAAGCCAGGATTTCTTAAAATATCAAAATTGACAATCATTTGTCTTAAATTCTGTTATAAGTAGAAAATTAACGGTAATAGAGAAAAACATTTTCCATAAAAATCAATGATAATGAATCAAGATAACATAATCCATGGTCAATGCCACCATAGATATCACCACTTCTTAGGCTCAAGCCAGGAATTCTCAAAATATCAAAATTGACAATCATCTGCGTTAAATTCTGATATAAGTAGAAAATTAAAGGTGGTATAGAAAAACGTTTCCCATAAAAATCAATGATAATGAATCAAGATAACATAATCCATTACCAATGCTATCATAGATATCATCATTTCTTAGGTTCAACCCAGGATTTCTCAAAATATCAAAATTGACAATCATCTGCGTTAAATTCTGTGATAAGTAGAAAATTAAAGGTGATAGAGGAAAAGGTTTCCCATAAAAATCAATGATAATGAATCAAGATAACGTAATCCATTAGCAATGCTATCATAGATATCATCATTTCTTAGGTTCAACCCAGGATTTCTCAAAATATGAAAATTGACAATCATCTGCGTTAAATTCTGTTATAAGTAGAAAATTAAAGGTGATGGAGAAAAACGTTTCCCATAAAAATCAATGATAATGAATCAAGATGACATAATCCATTAGCAATGCTATCATAGATATCATTATTTCTTAGGTTCAACCCAGGATTTCTCAAAATATCAAAATTGACAATCATCTGCGTTAAATTCTGTTATAAGTAGAAAATTAAAGATGATAGAGAAAAAGGTTTCCCATAAAAATTGATGATAATGAATCAAGATAACATAATTCATAACTAATGCTATCATAGATATCATCATTTCTTAGGTTCAGCCCAGGATTTCTCAAAATACCAAAATTGACAATCATCTGCGTTAAATTCTGTGATAAGTAGAAAATTAAAGGTGGTATAGAAAAACGTTTCCCATAAAAATCAATAATAATGAATCAAGATAACATATTCCATTACCAATGCTATCATAGATATCATCATTTCTTAGGTTCAACCCAGGATTTCTCAAAATATAAAATTGACAATCATCTGCGTTAAATTCTGTTATAAGTAGAAAATTAAAGATGATAGAGAAAAAGGTTTCCCATAAAAATTGATGATAATGAATCAAGATAATATAATCCACAGTCACTGCCACCATAGATATCACCATTTCTTAGGTTCAAGCCAGGAATTTTCAAAATATCAAAATTTACAATCATCTGCGTTAAATTCTGTTATAAGTAGAAAATTAAAGATGATAGAGAAAAAGGTTTCCCATAAAAATTGATGATAATGAATCAAGATAATATAATCCACAGTCACTGCCACCATAGATATCACCATTTCTTAGGTTCAAGCCAGGAATTTTCAAAATATCAAAATTTACAATCATCTGCGTTAAATTCTGTTATAAGTAGAAAATTAAAGGTAATAAAGAGAAAGGTTTCCCATTAAAATTGATGATAATTAATCAAGATAACATTATCTATAGTCAATGCCACCATAGATATCACCCTTTCTTATGTTCAAGCCAGGAATTCTCAAAATGTCAACATTGACAATCATCTGCGTTAAATTCTGTTATAAGTAGAAAATTAAAGGTGATAGAGAAAAACGTTTCCCATAAAAATCAATGATAATGAATCAAGATAACATAATCCATAATCAATGCCACCGTAGATATCACCATTTCTTAGGTTCAAGCCAGGGATTCTTAAAATATCAAAATTGACAATCATCTGCGTTCAATTCTGTTATAGGTAGAAAATTAAAGGTGATAGAGAAAAACACCATTTCTTAGGTTCATGCCAGGAAATCTCAAAATATCAAATATTAATAGATTGTGTTAAAAGTGCCTTCGACGCATTAACTAAAGAAAAGTTAGATAACGTATTCTCGACACTACAAAAGTGCATGGAGTCAACCATGATAGCCTCAGCAGGCAACAGCTATAAAATTGAATAAATTTGAATCTGAGCATGCTACAGAAAAACTTTTCGAACGAAAATTGTAGCAAATTGTATTCTTAACAAAGTTGCTCTCTTATGCTTTTGCTCTCAGACGCATATATATCGAAAAAAATATGAAAATTCATCAATAATGAAAAGCTTCGCCATGAAGGGTGTTTATATTGAACCAGCTGAATTATATTTAAATGTGTAAAATTTTCATTAATGTATGTTTAAATTAAGTTACAAACTGAATTAATAATTTTACAAATACAAACATTTCCAAAGTTTTCTATACCATAATTTGGAACAGAGGGAGTAATAAATTAAAAAAACGCACCAACAGTTTGGTCAAAGGTGAAATCCTCCAAAATGTGGACAACCTCGGTTGATTCGTTATCTATTTCATCCTTGAGTTTATCAATAAGTCCATCGGCGTGTTTATTAAAAAGTTTATTATTATCGAGGATGTTTTTGTAGTCGAGGGTTGGATTTAAAAGTTTTCTTTGTCGCCTCCATTCGTCGCCTTTTAAAAATTAATTTTTGAATTAAATGAATTAAAAAAAAAATTTTTTTTACCATTCACGACAAGCACAGAATTCCCCACGACGTTGTTTAACGTTGCTGAGAACAAAAACGGCTTATTTATGTGTTTTGGAGAGCTCAAAATAAGAGAAAATATTTTTGGATCCGTTGTACAAAGCGCTGGGATTGGCCCAACCATGGTAAAAAAGCTTTTCCCCATCTTTTCAACTTGAGCTTTAAACACATAGTAAATGTCTAAAAAGGTGTGGTTAAAATAATTTTTTTTTGGTAATTTTAAACACTTACCGACGTTATTTCGCACTCTGTAAGTAATCCCTAAAATGGGAAATTGGGGCGTGGAAGGGAATATTTTTAAATGATTTCGATATGAGTAATATGTATAGTACCACCATAATGGTAGCGAAATAATCGCTACGATTATCGCAATTGCTAACTCAACAAACATTTTATATAAGAGTAAGCTTAAGAATTAATGATGGTTTTTATACATAAATTGGTTCATTGAGGTGTCAACTTTGAACTGGGGCATTATCACGATTGCTTAGGGTCAAAAAAACAGTTTTATCTCCAAAATTTTTCTTAATTTATTATTTTATGTATACATTTTTATTAAAATATTATGAAGTAAAAAAATTGGATCTGAATAAACTTTTAATCGATATATACATAATAAATTATGTTATATCCAACAAGGGCAATATGGATAAATGCTAAAACTTAAAATTAATACAATATTTTATAAAACGTATTAATTTACGTAGTAATTAAAAAATCATCTATTAACTAATGGGGTGTTTATCTTTAACGAAAGACAAAAACAATAATAATAAATACACAGATAAATTCAATTCAATTCTTTTATTGTTTACGAAAAGTAAAATATTCCACAGATAAAGAAATCATTAAACACGTCATTATTAATTTCCTCTTTAAATGTGGTAAGTTTATAATTTTATCTCCACTGGGGGGTATTATTTCATGGAAAATTTTTTTATTCAATTAAATAAGTAGATTTGTGTAATTTTTATCTTGTTTAGTCTTTGGTTTCATCAATGTCAATGTTATTCTAAAGTTGTTTTGTTAAATTCAGATTAATTTATTTGTATTGGTTAGTACATTTATTCGGAATGAACGAAAATATTTTTTTATTAATCACGTGAATACTACTTGTTATTAAAAATACATTTCAAAAATTTATTTCTCAAAAACTAAAAGCGATTTTTCAAAACGACTTGTTGCATTAAAAAGAGGATACTTTAATTAATAATTGGTGATATTTCCACAAGGATCCTTCAAGAAATTAATTTTATAGCGAATTTTGAAAGTTATCGATGAAAATAGGCAACATCGAAAATTTTATCAAAACTTCTAATTTTGTTTTTTCAAAAATTAAAAGTTATTTTGCAAAACGTGTTGGTTCACTGGAAAGAGGACACTCTTATTAACACTTTGGGAAATTTTCATACTCATATTCTAAAAAATGGATTTTATACGAATTTTGAAAACTTAATCGGCGAAAATTGCAAAATTCGAAAATTGTCGAACGTTTCAAAAATTTATTTCTCAAAAACTAAAAGCGATTTTTCCGAACGGTTTGTTGCATTAAAAAGAGGATACCTTAATTAATAATTGGTGATATTTCCACAAGGATCGTTCAAGAAATTGATTTTATAGCGAATTTTGAAAATTATTGATGAAAATTGCAACATCCAAAATTTTATCAAAACTTCAAATATTGTTTTCTCAAAAACTAAAAGTTATTTTTCAAAACTTGTTGGTTCATTGGAAAAACATCACTTTTATTAACACTTTGGGAAATTTTCATACTCATATTCCAAGAACTGGATTTTATACGAATTTTTGAAACTTAATCGGCGAAAATTGCGAAATTCGAAAAAATTTTCGAACATTTCAAAAATTTATTTCTCAAAAACTAAAAGCGATTTTTCAAAACGGCTTGTTGCATTAAAAAGAGGATACTTTAATTAATAATTGGTGATATTTCCACAAGGATCCTTCAAGAAATTAATTTTATAGCGAATTTTGAAAATTATCGATGAAAATTGCAACATCGAAAATTTTATCAAAACTTCTAATATTGTTTTCTCAAAAACAAAAAGTTAGTTTTCAAAACGTGTTGGTTCATTGGAAAGAGGACACTCTTATTAACACTTTGGGAAATTTTCATACTCATATTCCAAGAAATCCATTTTATACGAATTTTTAAAACTTAATCGGCGAAAATTGCGAAAACTCGAAAAAATTGTCGATCATTTCAAAAATTTATTTCTCAAAAACTAAATCGATTTTTCAAAACGGGTTGTTGCATTACAAAGAGGATACTTTAATTAATAAGTAGTGATATTTCCACAAGAATCCTTTACGAAATGAGTTTTATAGCGTATTTTGAAAATTATTGAAGAAAATTGCTACAATTTTATCAAAACCTCAAATATTATTTTTTCAAAAACTAAAAGTTATTTTTCAAAACGTGTTGGTTCATAGAAAACCTTTACTTATTATTTTGTAATACTTCAACTACTGCCTCGGCAGCTTAGTTGCCTCACCTTCTAATAACATATTAACCTTAAAAACAATTTTTTATATATTAAATTGAGAGTTCTGGGCCAGAAATTGCTTCCTGTGACATCATGATCCAATGTAAAAAGGATAGGGAGAGTACCAACCTAAATCTGGGGGGAAAACTAAGGTTGGTATTTGAAAAGTAACTATAAGCTGGTGATTTTTTAAAAAGTAAATAAAATATGTAATTGTTCTGCCATATAATTTAAATTCATTTCTTTGACGACACTAAAAAAAGTTTATTTTTAACTTTATTCTAAAACAATTAGAAATAGACCTGTCACACCCTATATTTTTGTAATCAGAAAAAAATAACGAATTTAATAAGCGAACAATCAGTGGTTGTTTCCATTAAAAAAAAAAAAAAATTGTCATGATATCTCTAAATCTAAAACCGAAAATTTTTTTTTGACTACGTCATGATATTCTCTGTAAAAAGTGTCCATATAATGTCTGAGTTATAATACTTCACCTATAATAATAACCAAGGTAATTGCACTTGTTGGTTTTACGCGTTTTGAGGTTTTCGGCATTAGCAGTTTCTCGAAAAGCATGTAAGTTACTTTTTTTCTAACTCTTATAGTTTGCGAATTAGCCTATTCGGACATCGAATTTGAACCAGCTTGTACATGTTAAGAGATACCTCAAGATCTTTTATACAGCGCATTAATACTTGTAGAGGAGAAAATGGGCGGCATTTTGAACAACTTCTAAGTATTAATTAAATTAATACCTACTTGTTGAGCAACGTTTAGTAATTGTTTATAGTTTGTTGCTGCATTTCCTTGAAATAATTTTTTTTTATTGAATATTTATTTATTAAAGTTTTTTTTAAATTGTATTTTAATATAATATTACTGATTTACAAATGACAGACAAACAAAAAAGAAAAAACAAAAAATAAGTGCCAAAAAAAGCACAGAATTTATTACATTCTGTCACTTTTTTAAGTATAATAATGACATTTTATTATACATTTTTCATAAATTCTAAATATCAGGAAAACTATTGAAGTTAGACATATGACATAGTTATCATTAGTTAAAGGGAACTTGATGAGCAATTCAACTAGCACACAATATATAGGGTGTTCTAATATCTTTGGATACTATCATTTATCTACTGGCTTTGACTATTATCTGACATAGTTTCAAGGCAAAATCGGAAAAAATATCGTTTTTACATCGTTTTCAAAAAGATCCTGTAATAGACACATTTTGGAAGAACAATTGAATATCTCAGGAACTATGAACGCTGTGAAATAGTAACATAGACGGTTGTATAAACAAATTTAATCGTATTCGTAACATGATAAAATATACAGGCTGTTCAATTTATAGTTATTTAACCAACAAGTCTATTAATGAAGGCGATTAATTATCGAGATATTTTAACGTTAATTATTGAGATAATTAATCGCATTTTAATATACGAGTTAGTTACAATATTTTTCCGTTGACCGTCTTTTCAACAAAATAGAGAAAATGCATCGTTGAAAAATCTCCCAATTCTGTCACTGGCAAAATAACCTCACTTTTAATGTGTCATAATTTATTTTTGTAGTCTTACCGAATAGATATAGTGGTCGGTTGGGTCGGTATTACAAATTTCATTGGACAATATTTATTAAATTGACTACTATTTAGTTCGGTCGGACTTTCTTAAAATCGTTTATTAATTGAAAATCGTTTATTAATAGGTGTCATTAATGAATGATTTTGTATACATTTATAAATCATATAAATACACGGTCGACGGAAAAATAAGTTTATGTACTCTCCATTACGCTTAAATGGAACACCTGTATAAGTGAAAATAATTTTACGTAATAGAAAGTGATGAGTCAAACAACTTTTTTATAAAACAATTTTTTGTTTTTCAAACGGTTTAGTAACTTTAGACCGCCGGTATAGTAATAACTCACTCTGTATAATATAATAAAGTAAAGCAATACAGTGATGTTAATTTATTAAGAATTACATAACGTTACATGGCGCTGTGACTAAGGAATCTGTAAAAAAAGAAGCTGTTTGGAAAAAAACCTTACATAAAAAAAAAAAATTTCTAGAAAACGACTTTTGTATCAAACGAATCCGTTAATTTACGAGACAATTCATCATATATATACTATCTCCTATATCGCTGACTAAGGCAGCAAAAGAGTGTAAACACTAGAGTGCAGATATATATATATCTGTCTCTGTCGTGCC